GCCTCCGAATACCTTAAGTTTTACATAGACTCCCACCTGTGCATTTAGCAAAGAAGAATAGGCCAAATATGCAGTCAGTCTATGGGAAAGCCAGTGGATCTTAAGCTCAGAATATTCTAGTGTTTTATTCATTTTAGTCTTTTGCTATTTTTTATGATAGTTATTATGTTTCATCACAAAGTCAAAAAAGATCACAGGGTTCATATGCAGACTCAGGATTTTGTGATCCTGTTTCATTTGATTGCATCAAATTTAGTTTAGTTTTTTTTTTTTTTTTTTTTTTACTTCTCCCAGTGCTTGGAAGTCGTAGATCTTTTGAGTCAAAGAAAAGAAGAAAGATCATCCACAGAGCTGTTGTTCTTCAGCTGCATGTTACTCATTACCATTTTCGCTTCCTGTTAACGTTTCCATCATTTTCCATCAGTTGCTGCATTTATCAATCTGCCATCCACTTCTAAGAGTGAGACATTTGGTTTCTGGAGAGCAGAATCTAATTATGATCTTATCACAAGAGGACGAGCTTTGTTAGACAGATTAAAAAACCAAATTACCACATTATATTAGAAAATGTACTTATAATATCAGGCTAATAAGATAATTAGCTTGTGATCTTGAGATATGAGAATTTAAACATTGCTATTCTCTGAACTCAACAGGAGTTCTCACAACCATCATATGAACAACATGTAGAAATATATATGTGTTAGCGTTTAGTTGCGAATACAAACTTCACACAAGTCAATGCCAACCAGATATTTTTGTGAATACCGGGAAAACTGAAAACAGTTTAGACAAAAGTCCTTTAAAAAGTGTGACTTATATCTTTCTGAACTGAGATTAAACGGTTCAGAGGAATTATTAAACATAGAATTTTCCAGTCAGGAGGAGACTGAAGATGCAAACAGACGAGAGTTTCAAAAATGCTTTTGTTTTTCAATCAAGGGCTGAAAACAATGTTTTTCTGCAGGAATAAATTCACTGACAGCAAGATTGATATGCAAAGAAAGTAACTGTTTTTAACAGCCCATTTAAGGAACAGAAAGTTTGGACTCTCCTCCATCTAAGGTATCTCTTTTAGAAAAAAAAAACTTTCTTTTCACTTTCTTTACAGCCATACTGCCATCCTGAAATATACCCCAGCATAAAAGAGGAAGGTGTCCCAGAGGATTTTGACAGTCTTGAAGAAGATGTGAGTTTGGGTGTTTAAATCTGAGGGCGCCATGATGTTTAAGCCGGTCCACAGGAAGGTGGAAAAAATCATTTGCCTGTGATGGCTACCCTCCATGTGTGCACCAGCGTTTGGTTGCAATAATCACATGACAATCATGTTAAGAGGATCCTCAAGCTGCCTCACAGCCACACACTAGCATATACACACACACACACACACCCACACACACCCACACCCACACCCACACACACACACGCATACACACTGGTTGCCTGTCAGGCTTTAATGCAACTATATTGCTTCTGGGAGCGAAACCAGAGAGCTTTTCTGTAGTGCAAAGCTCAGATGAGCATTTAAGTCTTTGGAGCCAATATAGTAGGTGATAGTGGGATGTGAGTAGACAACCCTATGCAAGAATGCTTTGATAAGCGTTACAGAGCTAACAACAATATTTGTCTGATTCTTGAAGTGCAACCAAGGCAGCAGATTCAAAGCATTCACTTCTAATGAGTTGTGACTTTTTTTAATTATCAGCAACCTGCAGCTCCTGCTCTCTGGGGCCCAGCTAGTTCGGAGGAAGCAGATCCTCTTTGCACTGTTAACATGCAGCCACAGCCTATTAAAATGCACAGTGAAGTGAGATAAGGGGTCAAGCATAAACTACAATGCGGATTAGATGAGGAAAAATGCAGGCGTGGCTGAACATCTCCCTCAGCTATTTTGTGCTGGAGATGATGCAGGCGAGAAGCTGCAGGGAAATGCATTATGTAGTCTATCTCTAATCACTCCCTTTCGGAGCTGAAGGAACCCATCCTGTCCTAGAATATGCAGATGCACACCGCCAATCTATCCCACAGGCTGAAACTTTGCTTTGAATGTCATATTGCCAACAAACACCTCGGTATTTAACAAGTCTCTTAGTCGCTTCCTCTGAGCTACTTCAGTCAGATTCTATTTTTAAATGAAATACCCCAATCCCATGAACCGCGGATCAGCATCTCCTCTGTTTTGGGGACGAATCACCAGATCCTGGATAGAATGAGACAATACCTTTTGAAGCCCACAAATCACATCCCCACTGGGAGTGAATGTGTATACACTATATATGTCAGTGGATATTTTGAAGTAATTCCTCTGAATGAACAGTTGCTATTGAAAATGACACAACAGAGATTTATGAGTAAAAGGACAAAGCAACAATACACTATTTGTTTCTCTTTTTTTCCCACTAAATGCCAAATTAAAAACTTCTACTGAGAAAAACTGTATTTAATCTCTGTTGAGCAAAATCTGACACTGTCACACTTTCAAGACATTGCTTTCTTCTCAGATTCTAAGTTCAAGGACAAAGCCGCAGCAAATCTGTAATGCTAAGGAGAATGACAGAAGAGTGTGAAAGAGGAAGTCGGGAGAGTTTATCCCACAGATTTTGTAGGGAAAACCAATCCTCCCTTCAACTACATCTCTGCGTCAGGTTACAGGATGTGAGAAGACACTGACTTTCACACAGCAGACATGGCATGATCACATAGAAGCACTTAATGCTGCTCCCAACGGGAGATCTGCAGGAACCACATCTGGAACAGACTTGAAGCTGCATGCAGGGCTTTGAAGCTAAGAAATTACACTGACATTAACACTGAGTACATAATGTGTGAAACTGAAAAAAAATAGCACATCTGTCCCGTTCTGAAAATCCAAAATTGGCCCATATGATCTGTGGAGTTGTTGTCATGTATATAGCGAACAGAATAGCATAATGTAAAACATGATATGTACAAAAGTACTGAGGAAGAGAAACAAATTAAGACAAAAGGAGCAGAAATGAGGCTCAAAAGGAAATACAAACCAAGAGCAAAATAATAACACACATCTAAGAGAAATAAATACAATGTACAAAGAACAAAACAAAGAGAAGAGACTAAATAAATTAACTAAAATGGCTATCTTTCCAACATTGAAAGAATAACTGAAAAAGAAAAGACTCAACAAACATGAACAAAAACCAAGAAAATAATCAAAACACAAAAAAAAACCTAAACGCAGGTAAGGATTGTGACACCATTGAGTTTTTGCAACTTGGCCCAGTTGTTCTTTCAGAATTATTTCAGTCATTTTAATTCAGCATCGCTATAGAGTATTGAAAATAAACAGCCTGTTTAAAGTCATTCATAAAGTCATAAAGTACATATATTAATAAGTCTTAAGCCAGCGTGAATGTTTTCTCTGAGAAGTTTCCTGTGAAGGCTCTACACTGTCCCATATTGTTTCTCCATTTGTTTGTGATAATTCTCAATGTGGTTTGTAGGTACCTTGATGCTTTGAAAAGAGCTTTGTAACCCCTTCCTGACAGAGAAGTCAAGGCAGTGTGCATCTGCCTTCATTTGTTAGCATGTTCTATCGTCGTGTTCAACAATAAATGTGTTCAGAGGAAACACATCCGGAATGAAGTTGTTGTCACGTTTAAAACAGGAGTAAAACAACATATTGTGTGTACATCTTATAAAGATGGGAACGTCTCTTTTTCAGACAGCAGCAATTGAAGAAGTTCATTCATTTTCTTTGGGGGAGCCGCAGGGACACAGAGTCCATGTGAAAAAAAACTTCGAACAGATCAGCTATGAATTGTGGATTCCACAAATATGGCCTTCATGAAAGAGTAAGAATAAATTTTGTTAGAAAAAAAACACACAATGCTTTTTTTTTTTCTTTCCCTCAGCTTCTAAGAGCTGTGGGAAAGATTAATGTAATAAAAGGAAGTCTAGGAATAAAACATATTGGAGGTTTAAGGAGACTTGAGACTGAGATGAAAACTCACCTTCCAGCAGAACAAAGACCCTAAACAAAAAGCCAGAGCAACAATAGAACAGTCATAGTGACAAATAATGGTATATCAAAATGGCCCAGTCAAAGTTCAGACCTACCAAATGGGAAGACTTCAAAATGATCTTTTGTTACCAAAGGAAAAGCTGGTTAAAACATATCCTGCAGCTTTAAATGTTGCAAAAGGTGATTTTTAAAAGTGCCAACTAAAACGACCTGAATGTTCATCCACACTGCATTTGATGTGCAACACACTGTGTTCATTTATCAAATGGAACACAATGAGGTTAGTGTTTAAAAATGTAAAAATGTGTCCAGAGGACATGAATAGTTTTGTAAGGCACTAGCCTCCAGCAGGACAGATATTAAGACATCATTAAGACATAAAACAGTCATCATTTTGGGCATGAACGTTCTTCTTATGTGAAAGCAATAACTGTTCAAGTAACAATATATTTGTCGTCTTGATGTTCACCTCTTTTGGTGGACTACTCCCTGTTCCAGTTTCGATTTAGACCTTATGTATGAGTTATCAAGCTCTAAGAGAAACACCACATAAACAAACCTGGCGCTGTCAGGTTTCATGATTTTATTTAAAAATACAAACTAATACCCTCATGCTTTCTAAATGGGACAGAATATCTGATGTTAAAATGAGAAAACTGTCCTCGTTGTGTTGAATTCCCAGATGAATTTCAGGGCGACTTACTTGCTTTAGAGCCATTTGTCATGGTCAGAATGCCTTGTTGTAGAAATGCAGTACAATTTGGCTCATGAGCTGAAGTTAACTTTTGCCAAAAACAAAACATTCCAACTTATTTCTCTATGTATGCTTACTCAGAGTGAAATAAAAACATCCTTTTTTTTGCGTAAGAGCGCAGAAGAGTCAACTTCTTACGTTTTTTACAAAGTAAGAGGAAAAATAATTAGATGAGTAAATAAAAGTGAGATAAGCAGCAATACTTGTTTGCGTCTCGATCAGATGAGGAGCGCAGGCTCTTCTTACCTTGCGCTCCGAGGAGCACCATCAGCAGGAAGACTGGGAGTTTGCCGAAGAAATCCATCGAAACATCTGAGCCTGGCGATGCCTTAATTGGATAAAATTTGCTCTCGGGCAGCGGGCTCCAGTCTCTGTTCGCCTGCAAGAGGTCTGTGAAGCCTGAAGATTCCGCTTTTGCGTTCCTTTACGCGTAGAGGATGGTGCGCTGCGCCGACATGGACAACTTCTCCTCCCCTCCTGCTCACAGCGCACCCTCCCTCTCACCCTGTGGGTAAACTTGGCGACCTGACTCACAGCGAGTCAGAGACGATGAAATAATTAAATTATTTGTTTTATTTATACACCATCAGGCTCGTCTGGAGGGCTGTCCTTGCGAAGGCGATGATTATATTGCATTTAGTGCGTGCAGTGCACAACAGATGTGCTTTTTACATATGCATTCCAAAATGGGAAAGGAAATATTCAAAATGACTGAAAGTCTTACAATGGCTGCATACCTGCACATCGAAATGATCCCGTGTTTTCACCATCGAGCTGCGTTTGGCCCATTTAGTCACTTAATTGATTTTGTAGACAACAATGCTGAGGCGGCATAAAGCATTAGCTGCTCCATAACAGCATTTAAGAGGGCTGCAGAGTCTGCCCATTTCATATAATGGAAAGCTATTGATGCACATCATGAAATAGCAGTGAAAATATTGAGGCAAGTCCAGATTAAATACTGCCTCATCTTTGAAGGGAAGCTGACAGTGCAATGAACAGAAGTAAACAGCAGGGCTCTTAATCTACATGTACAATGTGCTTTTATATGTCGGTAGAAAAATCAGCATCATCCCATGGTTTTTCCTATTGAACTTCTTCACATTTTTTGACAGCCAACCAGTGTGTTTCATTTTTTATAATGGAAGGAAAATGATGGTGTTTTTGCAAAGAAACATCTGCGAAGTGTGCAAGATGGCTTGCATCTTAATTTATTCTCTTTGCCCCTAAATAAAATGGAGGAAACTGATCTGCTTTAGGAGGAACACAATTAGTAAAGAGTCCCATGAGTACTGAACACAAGTGAATGATCATCACTGTGAACACGAAGGAAGGTTGAGGATAAATCTGTGATTTTTTTAAAAGCAGAATCAGGATGTAAAACAACATCCAAAGTTTGGAAGATCTCAGAACAATGCTCAGTCGCTCATCTAAAAGTAGAAAGGATATGGCACAAATGCAAAAAAACTAAAATATGGCTATCCACCTCAACTAACAGCCTGAATTTGAATTGTTTTCAAATTCAATTCAAAACCATTTTATCCATCAGTTTGATTTTATGAAGAATCCTTCTTAAACATCATCTTGAGTGTTTCTGCAGGAGTCTTCAGAACAGAACCAGCCTCATTTCTTTCTCTTTTCTCTTTCTAGACTTTCTAATATGATAACCATGGAGGAGTTACACAGGTAGGACCATCTGTCTGCATCACGATGTGGCGACGTTTTTCTTCAGCATCGACGGCAACGCTGGTTTGTGTTGACTGGACGACGTCAACACAAACCAGAATTGAAGATTGATGTTTACAGAAGCTCAGATGGTTAACGCTGGTAAAGACAATATTCATGAGATCAGCAGCTGTAACTGTAGTGAGAGGTGGTTCAGATGGAAAGAACACAAAATTATGATACAATTAACACATTGTTAGAAAGAAATCGTCCTGAAAAAATGTGCACAACTTTGCCTTTGTAACATAAGATCTCAATAAAAGATATTCATGGTCTCATTACATTGCAAAGTGCAGCTTAGGGCATATTTAATCAGTCAGTTATCACTTGATTTTGCTTTCTGTTTTCACTACACAACTTATATGTTTGTACATGTCCATTGGCTATATAAAGAAGTGTGAATTGGTTCAATAAATTAGCAACTCTGACAAAATGTGTTTATATTTCCATCACCCTGTTTGAGAGAAAACTTGTACATTTGTAGCTGAGTGTCTGCAACAGGCATTGGCTTTGGAAGCTGTACATGTTTACAGTCAAGAAGCAAAGAAGAAACCGAACTAGTCACCACACAAAAGATTTTTTATGAGTTTCTGGAGAAAAAGTCCAATTAAAGCATGAAAAAAAAAACAGGAAAACACAAGGCACAAAACAAGAGGGGTGTATAGAAGGTGTGATCAGTAAAATTACAGGGAGAAAGACATCTAGCAGATGACTAGGAAGTGTAAAAAAGGTCAGAAATAGCAGGAGAGAAGGTGGTGAGATTCTGGCTTGATGTGCCTCAGCAGAACAGACTCTGAGTCTTAACAACAATTAGTACGACTGGAAGTGAAGGGAGTTTTATCTACTGACCCACTTAAAGTTGCTATTTTTGAAGCTAAGATTTTAGGTTTTATCTAGTTTATTTGTGTTGCTATTGTTTGTTCTTTTTGACAAGTGTTTTATGCCTCCTTTCCTGGTCTCAATAGGAAAAGTCAGTGCTCTGATGTTGACTTGATGCATGTCATGTTGAAAATATACAAAGATTTCCCATGGCATTGGTGTATAAAAGACAAAAAGGCATGACTCTTAACTTGTCTTTCATTGACGTTTGGCCCTAAAATCCCTTGTTCTTGCATGTTTTTTAAAGTTTTAACTTTAAAGCAGCAGGTTTTCAGGAATACATGAAGCTAAATAGGTGGAAATATTTTGATTAAAAAAGAAACTTAGGATTTTCTGATCTGACAATTACAAGGGAAACATTTTTGCCGTTTGCTTTTAATCCTTCTGTCAGTCGAGAAGGGTTATTTCAGTTACATACAGTCAACAATAAAATGCAACCGAAGAATCGGGGATGTGTTTCTCATATAAACGTTTTTTTCTTATCTCTAGTTAATCTAGTGAACCCTGACCATTTTGTTTTTCAAGTGAAAAAGCAAAAGAAAATCACAGAAGACACAAACAATCACCATGTGACTTTTGTCATACTTACAAGCACAAATTTCCTCTCATCCATCAACGAATAAAATGTTCAACAAAACGTAGCATCAGAACTCTGAACAGAATAGAATAAAAGCTCGTCACTAACTTTATTAATGCAATAATTAATTATTTGATTTTCTTCAGTGTATTTTAAGATTTCAAATATACAAAGTGGAGGATGTTATTAGAATATAACTTCATCTTTCCTTTTTTCTATCCTTTAACACAACCAATAAATACCTAGCCTTCTTCCGGTAATTTCTTTCTTTCTTATGCTCTGTCTGATCCGCTGCTCCACTGTCTGATAACCTCTTCTTGAAAGCTTTCATCGTCTCATTCTGCCCTGCAGCTCGTCCCAAAGTGCCAGTCACGCTATAGTCTTCAACCCTGCGTTCTTTCAACACATTCATCCTCAGATGTAGCTGCCTCCCGCATCTTCATCGCCACTCACTTCTTCTGTCTCCAGCTCAAGACTCATTAAGGTCTCAGATAGTCCTGCTTGCTGTCCCTTAACCCAATGTCCAGCGTGGTCATGCTGTCGTTGAATTCAGCTACTGGCGGTTAATTAAATGTCTTCACTAGCTGATTAAAACTCATCGCTGCTAATTAAACTGCAGTTTCTCTTTCTCATATGGTTCTGCCTTCCCACATCAATCATAAAATAACAACTTACATACATGTGAATAAAATTTAATATACTTTATATTTGAGTTCATAATGAGGACAATTTATGCATCTTTCCTTTTCATTTTCAAACACGTTCATGCAATGTGACTCATTTTTATACAACAATCAGCTCCACAAAGCATTTCTTTCTATCACAGACAATGTCACTGCAAGCCATTTTTGATCAGTTTCAATTGGCTTCATAACAATTATTTTAACAGGTTTTTACAATCTGAAGGTAGGAGTTTAACAGCCTAATTATAATCAAACTTGATCAAAACTTTTTTTGAAAAAATAAATACATTTCTTCTTGAAAACACTTGTGTAAGGAAAAGGAAAAAACTTGAAAATATATATAGATTTATGCTTTTATTTTTAATTATGTCAGTTTTGGTCCTCCATAATATTGATTATACTGTTGTGAATAAAGCATTCTATCATGACGAATTTTTCTAAATAATATTCAGTCCTTTCAAAATGATACCTGAAGACATCTATAATGTTAGCAAAAAAATATAAACTGAACTCTCTAGTATCTCGTTTGGCCACTAGAAGGCAGCCTTCAGCCCCTTAATCTGTCATCAGGTAGCAGGCCTGAGGACATATTTGTTTCTGTAACAGTGATGCCTGAAACCCACTTTAGATCCCTGTACAGCATTTGGAGGAAGGGCTTGCCTTTACTGAGAGAAAGGTTGATGACAGTCTGATTCAACAGCATGGCAGCTACACTTTATGTGACGCACTGACGTGGTACATAAATATCGACCTCGGAGCTGAAATGGCTATAAATCCTGAAGGAATGTCCTGTGGAGGATGATGAAGATGAGAGCAACAGCCAAATACAGGGAACGTATTACACTGCCACGGTGGCTGGCAGAAAATATCCACAACTGCCGCTTGATTGTTTTCATCTTTTGTCACAAGACGTACAAATATTAACGTATTGTATTGGTATTTTGTGAAATAGACGACAAAAAATAGTCCATTATTAGAAAGCTGAATTATATGCAGATTTCAAGAAAAAAATAAATGAATCTAGTGCAGCTCATCCCTTTTTCACCCTGGCCAAAAAATTTTTTATATTCAAAATGTAAAAGGTAAACGTATTGGTCGGCTTTGTCCTACCCACCCAGAAGAAGGTGAATGGAATGGAACAATGTGCGTTAATGTCTTTTTCTATTTTATTTGTTGCTAAGATTTTTTTTTTAAATACAAAACAAAATTGTGTCACTCAAAGCAGAAATACATTTAAAATTGTGTTACATATTTTTAGATATTTTATAAATTAATTTCAGTGAAAAATGCCATTTCCATTATGTCATTGGCACGTACAGTATATTTTTGCACAGTGAACGCTCACATATTATACATTTATGTGGGTTTGTCTTTCACAGAAAATGAAATGTTTATTGATCTCCAGCCGGACTCTCAAGCAGTCTTTAATGTCGGCTCCTCGGCCGATCCCTCAGGCAGCAGAGGTCCCCGTGTCTCTTGTTTATGACTGACCTTTATCATTGCTGTCGTCCTTGATTCCACGTCTCTTACTCCCCTCTTGTCTTCCTTCCTCCACCGTTCCAGTTTCAACTCTTGTCACATTTAGGTCATTTAGTCATA